TGTCAAGGTATCCTTTTATCTTGACACAGTGTCACAGAAGAACAAGACAGACCAGCAGAGCACGTCTCACTTCCTCAAGGCAGTGAGATAATGGTTACAGGGAGAACTGAACACACTAAAGTGTTCCCAGGGCCTATGAACAGGTATCATGAGGACTCACTGCATAGGTTCTACAGACACTTCTTAAAATCTGGCAATGTGGATATCATGTCACTGGGGCACTGCTCTCAGGGACACCTTCTGTTGAATGAGCTGCCAAAGAAGTCTAATCTAAGTATATTTAGATAAGGTGACTAATTAAGGCTTTGTTTTTACTTCAGAAGTTCTCTTCAGCCATAATTAATTCATAAAAATTTAACCTTCATGAAGGATACACTGTAGCTTGTGATTCCCCTTTGATACTAGCCTATTTTAATGCCATTTCAAGAAAGGTACCTGAGATAAGTTGAGTGATGCACTAGAAAACTTTGCAATGCCTGGTAGAGAGTCAGCTCACAGTGATTATGGTCTTGGATACCTTGAGAAACATCTCAGATTTCCAAGAACAGTGAAGAAAACAGTTTTACCCATTGCTGAAGATAGAGTGGTATGGTGGAGGACTTTCACTTCTAGGCAAATCACTTGACATGAGACGTGTCATGGTTGGTGACACAGCATCAGCAAAATAAGGAGGTGGTGGAGGCGGGAATACCATGACAGCATCACCTATAGAAAAAAAACCCAGCAGTTACTATGACTGAAAAATTTAGCACCGCTGTTTACTCTTAACTGTATCCTAGAATACTTCCTGTCTTCAAAATTACTGGATTACTGGATTTATACTTGTCTACCTTTTAAGATAATGTGCAATGATCCCACATACAGAACTGTTATATCCTGGGCTGCTTGAGTATACTGGAGGTACATCCAAAATAAAAATTATCCCAAAATCAACATGCAGCGTATTAAAAATTGGAAGATTTAATTGAGAAAACACGGTTGGGAAGGAAAAGTGTTCCATTTAGCCAAGAGACACAAACCTCTTCACTACTAGCTGTCTTCAGAAACCTGAAGTGCAAAGCACACAGTCACTGTTGGCTCATTTTAAGGATATGCAACTATTTTGTTTCCCTCATGTACCTAAAACAGGGCAGTTGAAGTCTCTCCACATCTACTGCAGTGTTGTAACAAAATATTTGAATCATGTTTCTGATGACTCACTGTGTGTGCCTTCAGTTTCCCTACTAAATTACTTGCAGCTGAAGGAACACTACTAACATTAGTATGATGACACTATTGATACACAATTCACAATTAAGTGTACTGTGCAGCATTACCTGCCAATTTCAACTTTGTAATTGAAGAGTTTCAAATTTATTTATTTTTTAAAGAGAAAGTTTATATCAGTCACTGAGCTTGCATAATTCATATAAACATTAACAGTAGCTTGGCACCTTTTTTCCTTTGTAATTTGTGTGAAGGCACAAGTCAGGGAGCATCAGAAACCTTGAGTGGGGTAGCAGGGGTCTTCTAGCTGAGTTACCACTGTTCCAGAACATCACTTTGCCAACTGGACTTCAGCCTTCAGCATTGCAGTTTTTCTGATGGAAGTGTAAAAGGAATCCACTATTTTTCCTTCCGTGCCTTTAAAGACAATCTGAATTCCTTTCTGTGACCCTTTGGTTTATCCTCATGGTAGAAAAACTCACTTTAAACCCTCACGTTAGCTGAGGATCGCCAGGTTACAGGTCTATGCATAGGTCAGACAGGCAGAAGGAAAAAACTTCTTGCATAATGAATTTGAAGTCCAGTCAGACAGATAACAGTAAAGCAATGGTATGCCTTTCTGAGAGCTAGAGAGTTACCAGAACTATCTATGCAGAGAATGTATTCATGGGGTAATAAAAGCAGTGCTCAAATACTGTACAATTAACATAAGCAACCTGAAATTACATCTCTGATAGAAGATGTAGCCATGATTTAAAAACCCTACAATACACTGCTTATGAATCAGATTTGCCTTTTTAAAGAGTCAGAGCTCAAGCCTAAAATAAATCTTAAATACAGTCACAGAAGTCATCAGACCCATGATTTGCAGTGTCAGCTACAGACTTTGGGAAAGGAAGTGGGATTGGTGTCACCTGTATTAGATTATGCAGCTTCTTTTGCACAGATAGATATTTATTTTTATGCCAAAGGAGAGGTTTTGTCTTTGAGAGAAAGGTAACTGAACTGACCATACAGAAAACACAGGCGACAAAACAGTATTTTTCTGGTTTGGCTGGTTTAACGTGCCAGAACTGACCTGCTTAGAGCTCACATGAGTAACAGTCAGAGGTAAATCATTAGTGGAAAAAGACCCTTACTAACTCTCAAATGTAAAGTTCACACATTATTTACCCACCTACTGTAACCTGAAAAGATTCAGGGCTCTGAGGATGTTCTTCACTTTCAAAAGATTCTTGGTTGAGATTTAAGCTTTGTTTCTTTTTAACATGAGCTATCACGAAGAAGCACAACCCAGTGAGCACAATCAAAGGTCCCATGATTTGGAGCGACAGAAATCCACAGCCCTGGAGATTCACATCAGAACTGCCGGTGTGATTGAGCTGTATGCTGTGCCAGCTGGGGCTGCAGCCAGGAACCCAAATGCCCAGGATGCTAATTAGCATTCCACTAGTTAAAAACAGGAATCCGAATATGAGAAACTGGGCAAACTGACAGCTCCCACGACAAAAAACAAGGCTGTACACCTGCTCATTTTGCAATTGTCTTTGTCTTATATACAGCCTGGCCCTTGATCGTGCAAGTAAAACACAAACCAGTCCAGTTACAGCCAACACAGGCCCAGCAGCCTTAAGGACCTCATTACAGTCACTGAAGGTTCCAGATGGGCATGACTGGAGAATAAAGACTGAAAGCAGGAATCCAGCACAGAGCAACAGAGCTCCAAAAACAAAAAGGAAAAAAATAAGTTTCCCATGTTGTCCATTATTTCCTTCACCTCCAGGTGCAGGAACAGCCACTGGATACATTACAACAGAGTTTCCTCAAGCAGACGAGTTGTTTTTGTTTGTTCGTTTGTTTCCTGTTAGCATTAAGTGGCAGAAAACTACAGTAGATCTGTGAACATGAAAATACACAAATCAAAAGAAGAAAAAAAACAGTGGGACTAGCTACACTACAATATTTAGGTCTGCATTTGCTACTCATCCTATATGATATACTCCTGGTGTTTTGCAGTAACTCAACTACAGATTAAAAGGCCTAATCAAGTTTGCTGCTGTTAAATGCCAATAACAAGACAGAACTCCAGTTAGACCAAAAAAAACTGTAATTGCTGTTGTGCAGCTAAAATACATGGGTTTTTTAGATACAGTGTTATGTTTTTATTTTTAAAGGCTGAATCTTGAGAACAAGGACAGGCTAGCTTTCTCTCAAAAAAATAAAGCTAGGGGAAATTTCTGTAGTGAATGGCAGGAAATGACAACTCTTGAGAGAAAGAATATTAATGCAAGTGAATATTGGTAACTATTGGAATTTTGACCAAGTAAATCTTCTAATACATACCTTTTCAAAGCCCATAAATCTTGCTTCTCCTTCCACAGGCAACAGAGAGCTTTCTGTTTCTCTCCTTAAATCAGTATCATGCCATATACAACTGCAAGAGCAAGTACACAAAATTTTGGTTCTGTTTTGAAAGAACAACAAAAAAAGTGCCATACTCAACACTGTGTTGCTCAAGTCTCACTCACTGCATAGTTAGAGACGGTAGGCATACTGCTCCCACACTTCCTTTCAGCCTCCCCTACTCCTGAATCCTTTGTCTGTGCTCCAAAAAACCTTTAAAAAGAATTATAATTGAGCTGGCTCCCAGAAGACTTCTAAGCCACAGAAATCTAGATTCAGAAGTAAAATGTAAGAAAACAGAAACTTGTGCTGGGGCCAATAATAGCTCATATGGGACTATGCATGACAAATCTTTTGTCTCAAAATGAGACAGAGAAAACCTGACTTAAAGTTAGGACAGGGCACCATTCAGTGAGCTCAAGGGAAAAAATAAAACAATATACTTTTGCCATTATCCACAAGGAAGTTTGTGCTGCTTGACACTCTGGCCTACAGGCCTCAGATGGACACCTGTACAACATACCACAGTGACTAGCAAGCATGGAGATCTCACTCCAAGTGGCTACCGTCTACCAAAAGTCAACCTAAAACTCAAAGGAACTTCAGATTATGGAAAAAAACAAATCTGGATGGACCAGGAGAAAGGCATCTACCATATTGCAGTGTTTTAACACCAGCAATCTCCCATAACAGACTTCATCTGTGACTTGGATATATGAGGAAAGATATAGAAGGACTGGAGGAATCAGACACAGAAGGAAGCAAAGAACCACCTTAGTTACTTCTGTTTGTTAGTTAACCTTCATCCTTTCCTCTACCAGCTTCCACTGCCCTGCTACTGGAAGCTAAAAGTCAAATTAGATGGACTCCTCTTACGTATGCCTCAACAACAGTTATTGCCCAAGAAAAAACAAGTACTATGTGATTTCTGGAAGCAAACTGTTGAACGTTATGTCAGCCACAACAACCTTTGTGTCACTCAGTCCCCGTAACAGCAGTGCCCCACTGGGATGAAAACAAAATACAACCATAAAATCCACTACGCACTCAAATACATAGCTATCTGTCTGCAATGTAAGGCAATCTATCAAGTCACTCAGCCACTTGTAAGACCAAGACCCAACTAACAAATTGGTCTGACATATCTGAGTGATTAAGTTATCAGATGTTTTACTGCTGAGCATCAAACTTGACTCCCAGCAGCATGGGGAAAGTAGAGAGCAGCATGCAGGTAAGAGATATGGTAAGCATGACACCGATGAGCAAGGAAACAGGCTGCACAACACAGCAAGAATGCCACTGCAGGAAGCAACAATGTCTCCCAGATGCCTACCTCCCATAGCAAGACTGAGGGACCTCTCTTAATGCATTCAGCTATTGTGGTCAGCTAATTTGTAACCTATATCTGCTAAGTGTTTCATCACTGTTCTGAATGCAGTCTATCCTTCTACTAAGATTGGCTCTGAAAATTGCCTCCTTGGTGGAAGAGTCACAGCTTCACTCTGGAAAAAAAGATGGTTATGAAGAGCACTAAAGGTAGGACAGTAACTCACAAAAAAAGAATTTCCCTATACATCAATCTGAAGACTGTAGTCATGCACATTTTCAATACTGCATGAGCTGGAGTCCCTTTGAAGGCACTACTTCCAAGCAGAGGAAATGGATTACATTGGTAATTTCTCCTTCCTCAGTTTCACAGGTTGTTTTCTCATAACTGCATATGATCTTCCATGTCTAGACATTTTCCCCATTTTCCTAACTGATCTAAGGTGGCTCAGATTTCCTGACCTACCAACAAATGCAAAAAACTGAGTAAAGTGCCTCGAAATAAGAAAAAAAAAAAGGAAAAGAGAAAACACCAGCAAAGCCCATTTTCAGACTCAACAGTCTTTGGATATTTTTCTGCTGAGGTACACTAACCATTATAACATCTACACATGTATAATTAGAGAGAGAAGTTTGAATGCTTTCTTCACAGTTGCCTCTAGGGAAGAAAACATGGACATAAGTACAAGTAAATTAGAACAAGATTAAATAATGTGAAGGAAAAAAAAAATTAAACATTTAGTCCTTAAAAAGAAAAATCTAGAGATTTCTTCTCATTACTCCAACACAGTGCCTGCTTCTCTTCCACCAATCTTGTTGCTAAGAGATTAAGTAAAAACACACATTAGAAGTGTATGCATATTTTCTTAATTCTTTCAGGCCACTAAAGAAGGAACATCCAGAACAGTCTGTTGTGGCTTTTAAGATGAAAGCCACAGATTTAATGACACAAAAATCCAAGAGAGGACTAATTTTCATGTATGCTACCACCAAATTTTAACAGAAAAAAAAACATGCAAGATTGACCCCTGTCTGAGAGCAGACATGGAAATATCAGCTCAGAAACTACTGGAACAAAATCCAGTAGTGTGGAGGCAGTTAAGTATAAGGGAAAAAGGAACTGGAAGCATAATTTGCAAAGGAAGTCTGGTTATGAGCTTAAGTGATATAGAGCTTTACCCTTTTGGAAGTCTAGTCCATGCCAGGTATACAGAACAGGAAATAACATCACAATTTCTTGTCCTTCTTCTGTGTAACACTTGTAATACAACTTTCACATTTTGGCTGACTCCAAGATTTTTAAAATGCAAGTTTTAATGATGAAACTGGGACTTCTTGATTTCTGTTTCAACTTTCAGAGTTCATATTGCCCAAGATTTCCACTGCAAACACCAGGGCTATGAATTTACTCTGCCTTACTCATATGAAATTTGATAGCCTCATGCAGTCATACGAAGTTAGGAACTGAAGACTTAAAAAGTAATGGAAGAATTAAAATACTGCTGTCCCTCTGCTCTGTGTTTCCCAGACT